CGGGGATAATCAAGGAGCGTCCTGGATCATCCTGCAGGTCTTATCGTGCCAGGAAGCTCTCTTGGTATCGCTCGGGCGTGTGCAGTTTATCCCGGCGGGAGCTATTAAGGAGCATCCTGGATCATCCTGCGGAAAAAAAACAGGCACGAAACCGAAAACAGCACAGGGAGTGGACGTCCGAGCGATGGCCAGACTCTGCGTAAGCATACGTGTTCTGAGGTCCGCACGGATTTCTTGGGTCGCCGCTGGGTCCTCCTGGCGGCGTTTCCAGCGCCGCGCTTGGCGTGCTCCGCGCGCCAGGGAGGGGGGTCCAGTCCAGCGCCCATCCAAGAAATCCGCGGGGACCTTGGAAAGTGTATGTTGATCCCTGTTCTTGTTATTCCATTACCCTTCCACCGCGTCCGTCTTCTAGTCAGATCATCTCTGGCAATGTGGCAGCTCACACGGCGGGTGTGCTGCTGAGGCGCCCGAGAGGAAGCACCAGTTCAAGGCCGCCGCCCCGTGGGAGAGGTGGGGAAAGGTTGAGCACAGTTTGAGCAGAGGGTGGACGTGGCAGTATGGGGGCGGGGCGCCGCGCGGGGCGACACCGTCCTGCCACTTCCTCCTCCTCCTCCTCCTCCTCCTCCTCCTCCTCCTCCTCCTCCTCCTCCTCCTATTCCTCGTCGACCTCGACGGGGCGGATCGGAGGGACGGCCCCGCCGTAGAGGGAGGGAGGGAGGCTGGGGTAGGTGGCATGGCGAGATGGGCTCTCGACAGGCGGGCCCGCAGCCCAGGAGCCGCTGGCACCGACTGCCTTGAACACATTTCGGCTCCAGTGGCCTTCCGCCAGCCCGGTCGCCTGGCACGCCGCCCTGCCGTCCGACGCAATGGTGGTGGACCCGTTCAACTACACGGCGGAGAAGGTTGCGGCCGTGGCCGCAGGCAAGAAGAGGGCGGAGGCGTACGACATCTACAACGACTTCCCGAAGCTGGGCAACAAGCACACGTATACGCCCACCAGCATTCTGGTCACGGGCGCCGCTGGGTTCATTGCATCGCACGTGGCTATCCGATTGACGAAGTTGTACCCGCACTACCGCGTCGTCGCTGTCGACAAGGTTGGATACGCCTCCGACGAGAAGAACGTGACAGAGCCGCTAGCAAAGTGCTCTAACTTCCGCTTTGTCAAGGCCAACATTTGCGACTACCCGTTGATGTTGAAGATCATGCAGGAAGAGAAAATCGACACTGTTATGCACCTGGCAGCGCAGTCTCACGTGGACCTGTCGTTCAAGGAGGGAGGCCCACAGCAGTTCGTGCAGGACAACGTGATGGGCACAGCGTCCCTCCTGGAGGCTGCGCGCAAGGTCGGGGTGAAGCGTTTCGTCCACTGCAGCACCGACGAGGTGTACGGCGAGGGTAGCTTCGAGAAGAGGGTGGATTTCGACGAGGATAGCCCCATGAACCCGAACAACCCATACGCTGCGTCCAAGGCCGGCGCAGATTTGTTGGCGCAGTCATTTTACAGGTCTTTCAACATGCCCATCGTCATCACTCGGGGCAACAACGTCTACGGGCCGCACCAGTTCTACGAGAAGGTGGTGCCCAAGTTCATCGCGCAGCTGAAGTCCGGAGGTCAAATCACGGTCCATGGTAGCGGCGGTAACACGAGAAACTTTCTGCACGTGCAGGACACAGCAAGTGGATTCGATTGTATCTTGCATTCCGGAGTGGTGGGCGAAGCCTACAATATCGGCGGCAAGAACGAGAAGACCGTCGTGGAGGTTGCGGCCGACGTTCTCCTGACCCTCGGGCTGGAGAAGAAGCGGAGCGAGCTGGTAAAGTACGTTGCGGACCGCGCCCACAATGACGCCTGCTACCCGATCACCAACGGGAAGTTGTGCTCGCTGGGCTGGCACGAGGAGCACAGCTGGGAGTTTGGACTGGCAAACACTGTCGCCTGGTTCCTGAAAAAGCTGCAGTCCGAGACGCGTGACATCACCAAGGTCATCAGCGCGCACCCGGACCACAGTGCCACCGACGCCTCACAGCCGGTGTCGAAACTGTGAGCTGGCCTCCGTGCCCTTCTCGAGATCCTCCTCGGATGGCCTCTTTCCTCCTGGTTCCCCCCTCCTTGCTTTCCGTTTCATTATTCCTCCTGCTCCTTTTCCTCCTTCACTCGGTCTCCCCTCCACCCCATCCTGCGCCTCTTACTCCTCCTCCCTCATGCCCACTGTCGTCCTTGTCTGTCCTTCTCACCCTCCTCCCCACCCCCCTCCTCAACCACTCCCTCCACCTCCCACTTCTTCACGCTTCGCGTATCCCAACCAGCGGCCAATCGTCTCGCTTTGCGCCCTTGTCGAGATTGACCCGCTCTCTGGAGTCGTCCTCTGAGCCGCAGATCAAAAAAGTATCCCAACCAGCCCGTTCAGAAACCCTGCCCGTTCAGAAACCCTGCCCATGAGTGCTGACGAGAAAAGGGACGAAGAGACACATACAGTGAAACAAACTTCGGCTGATCCATGGAGAACGGGGGCGAGGGGAGGAGGAGGAGGAGGAGGAGGAGGAGGAGGAGAAGGAGGAGGAGGAGGCGGAGGAGAAGGGAGAGGAGGAGGAGGTGGCAAGCCGCGTTTGTGGGCCCGGTGGGACGCGCTTTTGGGCGCTCTGGGGGCCCGATTGGGGCTCTGGTTGGGGCCCTCCTTTGGGGCCCTCTTGGGAGCCCCCGGGCGGCCTCTTGATGCCATCTGGGAGCCTATCGATCAGAGGAGGGGGTTCCTAAAGTTCCGCCCCCCGGGGGCCATGAACATCGCCTCTTGGGGGCGCTCTTGGGCCGATCTTGGGGGCTTCTTGGGTCCCAAGATCCTCCTCCTCCTCCTCCTCCTCCTCCTCCTCCTCCTCCTCCTCCTTTCCTCCTCTGTGCAAGTCCGGCTGCGCCCTGTTCTGACTGGGCTCGAGGATGCCACAAGAACATGTCCCAAGATCGGGGCCGCTTTGGGGGCCTCTTGGGCCCCCCTTGGGGCTCTCTTGGGCGATCCTGAGGCCTCAAGAGCGCATCGGCAACGAAAAGGCGAGAAGGCAAACGTCAGTGATGTCCTCTAGGTAGTTGAAGGACGCTGGCCTCTGTGGGGGGGCCCTGAGAGGGGGCTCCGATAGCACTTGGAACCGTCTTGTGGCCCTCGTTGGGCCTCTTGGAGATATGTCGGAAGCTGTCTTGAACCATCTTCGGTTAGTTTGAGCCGCCTTGCAAGCCATCTTGGAGCATCGGATGCCCTCTTGCAGCCATCTTGGGCCATCTTGAACACTCTGACCGATCTCGGCCCACCCCAAAAAACCGCAGGGAAGGGAGGGAGAGGGTGCCCATCTTCGAAGGGCAGAGGGGCTTCGGAAGCGGGAGGGAGGAACTCGCTAGACCACCTTAGCTCAAACGGCAAGTGGGATTATTATTTTCGATGTCTGCCTCCTTCTCGTCAGATTCCTTCTCCAAGTCCTCCCCATGTTGTTTCCCCCCTCCCCCATTGGCCCCTGATACGTCTCCTGTTCCTCATCCATTATCCGACCTATCCTTCCTTTCCTCCTCCTTATCATCATTACCCTCCTCCTCGTCCTGGTCAGTTTTCTTGCCCTTCTCTTTTCACCATTCTCCCCCCTTCTCCTTTCCCTCTTCACTACCTCCCCCATTCCCCCCCAGACCTCCGACGCAGCTCTTGGTTTGCAGTGTGGACCCCTTCCCCGTGGACCCGTTCTTCGTTCCGAGCCACTTGCTTGCGGTCCCGGGGCTGGGTGAGAGGTCCCAGAGGCTGAATATTTCCACAAGCTTCTCTCCATGATCCCCCAGGGCGCGAGGATGTTAGGGTTCCCCTCCCCCTCCCTCACTTCCTCCTCGTCCTCCCATTCCCCCCCCCCCCGATTCTTCCACGACGCGACGATGTCAGAGCTCGCCCCCCGTCCCTCAGCCTCCCACCTCCCCCTCTCCCCCTCTCTTAGCCAAGCCGCTGGGCGCACACACCCGTGGCGCCGCCCCTCCCCCACCCCCACACGCACGCCCTCTCCTTGCTGCTCCTCCCGCTGGCTCCAGCTGCTGCCTTCCGCTCGTCCTCCCGCCTCCCCGCTCCTTGCCTGTGCTCTTGCTGTCCCCTTCCCCCCCGTCGCCCTCCCCGCGCGTTCTGTTCTGTTTCCCCTGCTCTGCCCTGAGATCTGACCCTGCGACCACGAATCAGCGGCATGAAGCAGCACGAGCCCCAGACCCCATCTTTCCGCGGCAGTTCTCAGGCCGCAGCGGCATGCGACGGTTCCAGCTTGTTCTTCGTTTTGACCTGCGGAAGGTTTCTGGTGGTCGGGCCCCAGCTGTATCCCCCTCCCGATCCCCATTCCGATCCCCACCATCCCACCACCCCAAACAGTGGGGAGATATACCATTCGAAACCCGAAGGAATCAGCTCCTATTCCCACCGAAGGGCCGAATCGGCCAGTGGGACCCAGGCCACGCCGATGGGCATGCCTTGGATTTCACCATGACAGGGCGGTGGCCTGATTTTTTGGGGGGGCTCTGATCTGAGCTGCCTTCGAGGGCCCCAGTGGGGTCTGGGCAGAAGGCCGCGCCTCCGTGGCTGCCCTTGGGGGGGTCTGACGCTGCTCGCCTGGGAGGGCTGTGACCCCCTCTCTCTCTCTCTCTCTCTCTCTCTCTCTCTCTCTTTTTGTTTCTCTCTCTCTCTCTCTCTCTTTTTTCTCTCCATCTCTCTCTCTCTCTCTCTCTCTCTCTCTCTCTCTTTTGTTGCGACATGTGGAGTAGGGTTAAGTCGGGCTTGTCCCTCTGCAGGAGAAATATTCGAACACAGTCAAAAAATAGTCGGGGGACTATGATTTGAGGATTTGTTGTCCAGTTTGGAGTTTTTCTTGGAGTATCTTTTATCTTTCGTCGAAAATCCCCCTGCAGGGGGACACGCCCGACTTAAGAGTAGGGATCGATTCGACGATGCTCCGCTGCTGCCCCGACCACCGCCTCCAGCGCACCCCGGCGCGGTCGCCTCCGCCCCCCCCCGGCCACTCCCCTCCCCTTTGTTTAGCGCGCCGCCAAGCCTTCCGCGAGTCGGGCCGCGCCGAGGGGGCTCGCCGCTGTGGCGTGTCGCCACGTCCTCCAGGAGGCGCCCCTTTCTCGGAAACCGGAGCATCTAAACTACCAGTGGCGGGCTGTTCTTCCATCCCCCAGACTTCTTGAGGGTGGAGGATGACGCCGGGGTGGTGCGGTGTATACTTGTTCCACGATGTCCCGAGGAAACAAAGAAACATGCAGACACCAGGGTCCCGTATACACCAGGATCCGCTCCCCAGTGCAAATTCCAATGCAGGGCTGGAAGAAGCGTCGGTGTATACAGCTCGAGTCCCTCATTTCTTCAAGAGAGTTGGGGCTCTCTGGAGCCCCCCCCCCCAATCGTCCTAGAACGTCCAAAACCCTCCTCGAGCTTCGATCCTGGAGCCTCCTCTGGATACCGAGGCGGCCCAGGGATCAAAGATCGAGGAGGCTTTTGGACGTTTGGGGTCCTTTGAGGGGGGCCTCTGGAGTGCCCAACATGTGCTGAAGAAATGGCGCTGCCTCGAGGAAGTGGCGACATTCCATTGTTCGAGTCGGGGATCGACTACAGAATTTGTTTCTTATCCAAGGCTTGGTTGGTTTGTCGAATCCGCGAAAGTATGTATACTGCTCCGTAGGCCCACGGAACAGTCTTCGGCGCATCTTCCGCAGTTTGGGCGGAGCAATCAGTTTTGGCACATCAAATCTTTTGTCGATCCCCTACTCGAGCAGCGCTGACTCCCCCCAGAGGTCCGATGTCGCGTTTTTGTCCACTACGGGGCTCCCGGAGAAGTCTCGACCCATCCCCCGCGAGACCGGGTTTATATCCTGAGCCGTTTTTTGACGGCCCGGGGCCCGGCGAGGGCCCTTCGAGGCCGAAAATCGGGGGTGGACAGAACCCCCAACAGTGACACGTCGATTAGTGAATTGTCCGTTTTCGGTTTTCGAGAGGGCGCCGTGGCCGTTATTTTCCAGGCTTGCGCCCGCCATGTTTGGGCACGAAGTCGTTTTCACTAAACCACGTTTTACTAAAGGGAGGTCTGTCCATCCCCGAGAAAACTGTGAAACACCGCCGGTCCTGGTTTTCGGAATGCGTTGGATCTCTGGGCCCTTTGGCGTGCCCCGGGTTGGGGCCGCCGACGCTGCAACGGCGGGCCGCCGTCGTGGCGCGCGCGGCCCGCGCGAGCGGCGCAAGCGCGAGGGGGGGTCGCCAGCCCCCCTTTGTCGCGGGCACGCGGCGCGGATCCGGGCGGCGGCGCCCAGTGAGGGGCGCGGCGCGGGGAGGGCGGTGTGCTTCACCGAGTGGACCGCGCTGGCGCGGTCCACTACTCGTGAGTCGGTCAAGTCCCTCTGCGTGAGGAACAGTCAGGAATAGTGTAAAATTAGTCTGGGGACGATGTTGTATCATGTTTTTTTGAATATTATTTTTGAGCATTTGTGGATTATTGTTTGATTCTCTTCCAAAGCCCGCCTGTAGGAGGACAAACCTGACCTAACGCTATTCGCACAGCCTTCAGATCATGGCGTCTAAGTTTCTTCGAGCCGGGTGTCTTCGCCTCTATTCGGGCCCCGGGGTCCTCACAAATCGGTCCGGCTCAAGAAGTGACGCAGAACGATGTGGTCTAGGGTTCTGGGCGTGATGTTTTCCGATGTTGCAATGTTTCTGCTACGTCAGATCTCAGGGAGCGCCTGCTCGCAAGCGTCCGGCAAAAGAAAACGTGTCTTCTCCACGAGATGGATCGTAGGTCCCTCGCGGCGGAGCTGGGGCATCTGCGAGAGCAGTTCCTCTGCCAATCGTGGAAAACGCGCTCGTCCACTTCGGAGGGCCCAGACCTCCAGCGTCTGGAGATACTCGAGGCGAAAGCCTGTCTCTCCACTGTCGACCGCTGGGGGCCCTCGAGTGTCACCGGGACCGTCAGAAAGCGACTCAGGATGGAGGGCGAGTCCGTCTAGGTCTCCTGGGTAGGGTTGGAGTAGATGGGGTCGGAGGATCGCGCCGCATCGCTGATGCATCGGCCATTCATCGGCGATGCGGCTTGATGTGGGGCCCGATTTTCTCCACGCCGACGTGGCCGAGGCATCGCCGACGCCGCCAGTGCATTGCCGATGCATCGCCGATGCATTGGCGATGCATCGCCGACGTATCGGCGATGCGGCGAGAACCTCCGACCCCATCTATAGGTGAACGAACAATGACATAAGCGTAAAAACTCTGAGGTCCGCGCGGATGTTTCCGATCCGCGCTGGACCCCCCTGGCGGCGCCTCAGGCGCCGCCCCTGGCGCGCTCCGCGCGCCAGGGAGGGGGCTCCAGCGCCGATCCGAGAAATCCGCGCGGACCTCTGAAATCCGCGCGGACCTCCGAGAAATCCGCGCGGACCTCTGAGTTCTTATGTTCATGCCATTGCTCGTTCCCCTAACCTACGCGGACCCAGTCCAGGATCGAGGCCTCCAACGTCCAGGGGAGTGGGTGGAGACCTCTCTGGGAGCCTCTGGGCTTGTCGGCCACGGTGGGGTGGCGCGCGGAGGGCCGGCCTTCAGAGAGGGAAAGGGGGGGAGGAGGAGGAGGAGGAGGAGGAGGAGGAGGAGGAGGAGGAGGAGGAGGAGGAGGAGGAGGAGGAGGTGGAGGAGGAGGAGAAGGAGCAGGTGGAGGAGGAGGAGGAGAAGGAGGAGGGGAAGGAGGAGGGGGGACGATGAGGGGAAGGAGGAGGGGGGAGTGGACGTGGAGCGGGTGGAACGGGGGGAAGGGGAAAGGGGGAAGAGCGGGGAACTACAGCGTCGTCGTCGTCGACCTCGTCCTCGTGCTCGTTCTCATTCTCGTCGTCGTCCTCGTCCTCGTCCTCGTCCTCATCCTCGGCCTCGTCGTCGTCGTCTCTGTCGTCGTCATCGACTACTGTGGGCCTACTCAGCACTCCCCCCCCATAGGGCATCCGCCGTGCGTCGTCGTCGGCCTACGCCCACCCCCCCCGAAGGGCATCCGCAGTGTGTCGTCGTCGCCGTCGTCGTCGTTGACCGTCGTCCTCGTCATCGTCTTCGTCCTCATCATCGGCCTCATCCTCGTCTTCGTCCTCTTCGTCGTCGTTGTCGTCGTCGTCGACTACAGCGGGCCTACGCAGCCCCTCCCATGGTGCATTCGCAGTGCGACGTCGCCGTCGTTGACAGTTGTCCTCGTCCTCGTCCTCGTCCTCGTCCTCATCATCGGCCTCAGCCTCGTCCTCGTCATCATCGTCGTCGTCATCATCGTCGTCGTCATCGTCGTCGTCGACTGCAGCACAGCGGGCCTACGCAGCCCCCCCCCAAAGGGCATCCGCAGTGTGTCGTCGTCGCCGTCGTGATCGTCGTCGTCCTCGGCCTCGTCCGCGTCCCCATCCTCGTCCTCATCGTTGTCGTTGTCGTCGTCGGTCGTCGGTCGTCGTCGTTGTCGTCGTCTTTGTCGTTGTCTTTCTGGTCGGCGCAGTCGTCTTCGCGGACGACCGCGGCGACTGGGAGGAGGAGGAGGAGGAGGAGGAGGAGGAGGAGGAGGAGGAGGAGGAGGAGGAGGAGGAGGAGGAGGAGGAGGTGGAGGTGGAGGAGGAGGAGGAGGAGGAGGAGGATGTGGAGGAGGCGGAGGAGGAGGAGGAGGAGGAGGAGGAGGAGGAGGAGGAGGAACAGCCGTAGCCATTTTGGCTCAAGTCCGTAGTGGTTCGGCTCAGACTTGGCCTCTTGGCGTGGGGGAGGCGCGCCCCTGCCAACGAACCCACGGCCATTCTGGCCCAGGGTATCTTTCAGTGAGCTCCTGCTGGAGCACTCCGCATTTTTACACTCCACCAGATGCCTTCCTATGGGAAAGGCAAAGGCAAATCGGGATGGATCTGGAATGGTTCTCAGACTACTGTTACTTGTGGTATGTGTGGTTGTTCCAAGAACCCGTCGCACTACAAGTGGTGTTACCACTGCAAGGCCTGCCCCCCCAAGATCGGCTATGGAACACCCCCTCCTCTCGGCGGCAGCTGGGCGAAGGGCGACACCAAGGGAGTCAAGGACAAGGGTGGTGGCAAAGGCAAAGGCATACAGCTCCTCAACCAGTTGGTCCAGGGAGCAGACACCAAGTTCAAGGACGTTCTCCCAGATAATGCTAAAGAAGTTCTGTCAAGTGTGCTGGACAACGCCAGGGCCACTCGCGAAGCCCAGGTTCCTGCCAGCAAGACCCTCATGTCCACGGGAGCAGAGATCAAGAAGAGGGAGTCCAAGACCCGCAAGTACGAGCTCCGCCAGGACAAAATCCTGGAACAGATCGAGGCCCTTGAGCTGGAAGGCAAAGAACTGCAACTTTCTATTGACAAAGAGGTTGAGGCCATCAATCTTGCTCGACAGCATGCAGCATCTAAGCTTCAATCACATCAAGGCCTACCTACACCAGGTTCGCTTGGAGTCAATCTTCAGGCGTGGACAGAGGTCATCGGCCAGCTCGACAACGACATGCGGCAGCACCTCGGCCAGCTCTACCAGACCGCGCTGGTCGGCATCAGCCCGTGCTCCGCCGACGTTTACACGGCTGCCACCAACATGGCCTCCACGCTGCTGGCTCCCTCGGACAACGCCGAGGAGCGGAGGGTGCAGCCAATCGGGGAAGACGAAGGATGAGGAGGAGGAGGAGGAGGAGGAGAGGATGTCGCGTTGGCAGCAGCGAGAGAGCGGCAGACCTTTCCCCGACACCTCCCCTGGTCAATCCCCCGAGTTCGAGCTATCAGACGATGAAGATATGGAAGAAGATCCAGGAGATTTGGAAGCTGCTGACCAGGGCCTACATGGGGCCCTCGCACAAGAAGGACTCCTGGGTGGGCCCCAAAGGGCCAGGGTCTCTCGGGTTATCGCGAGACACCTTAAGAAGAATACTCAGCCCCGCAGGCCACCTTCAGGCCCATCGGCGGAGAGAGGTGAGCTTGACACACCGCCGCCGCGTGTTTAGCAGGGCTCGTTTGAGAGTCTCAACCTTCAACGGTTCCTGTTGGTCGACCTGCAAGGAACTCCTACAGGACTCAAAATGTGAAGTTGCTCTTCCCCAGGAACACAAGCTTCTAGCAGAAGGTCTCAGCTCAATGCAGTCTACTATTCTGCGAATGGGATGGCATTCGTACGCTTCACCAGCTATTGTCAATTCTAATGGCTCCGCCACAGGTGGAACAATGGTGTGCATCAGGAAGCATCTGGACTCTTGGGGCTTCGACAAGAGCAATATTTTCCTGGACGTCTATCTGGGTGCTTCCTGCGAACAGCTAAGCTTGGGGCCATCCAGGTCTTCTCTGTTTACCTCCAGGACCAGGTGCGCATGAATGAGTTAAATCGTCGGGTTCTTAATAAGGTGTGGTTTCGGGTCGCTCAAGCTGGCGCGCATTTTCTCCTGGGAGGCGATTTCAACATGCCCGCTGCTTTGGTTTCGACATACCAGCCGCTCGACAAATTTGGTGCTGTCATGCGGGTGCCAGCTACACCCACGCTCCTCCAGGGCCGCAGCAGTTCCACGATCGATTATGTTGTGCTCAGTCGTGCATTGGATGCATGTGTTCCGACGTTGCGCGTGAACACTTTGTGGCACAAGCGTCCTCACTTACCTGTTGAATTGAGCATAGACACATGTATAGATGATGTGCATGTACGTGTCATGACGCCGTATATCAAGCTACCCCCCGCTCCAGCAATGGGTCCTGTGCGTAAGCCTCCCACATACACATCACTCGTCACCAAGCTCGAGCACGTCATACATGCACGCGCGCATGCATCTGGAAACGCATACATGGCCAGTGAACATGAGCAAGCACACCTACAGACTATCTTAGACGAGGTATATTTGGAATGGTCCACACATGCATGGGATGAGCTGGGTAGTATCACACAGACCGATCCACAAGCTAAAGGCCGCAGAGGAGGTCTACCGCCTGAGTTTCAAGATGTGCCTCTGCGCAAGGTGTTGGCTACCAAGGCCTACACCAAAGTATTTCCTGGCCGCGCTTTGCTATGGGTATTTAACAGATTGCAGGAGATTGAGGCGCTTTTGGTCAAGAGTGGACCGTGCAAGCTTGACCCCCACCTCACCTCCCTCCTCCGTCAGTTGTGGGAACTACCAGAGAAAGGGGGACCATTTCGACGCTATTGGAAGCTGGGCACCAGTTTCTGGCACCCTTTCTTGTCTGACCTTGCGCGTGCCATTTTGATGAAGAGTTCTAATGCTATGCGAGTCTCTCTGCTGGCGCCAGTTATCAAGTTTGTGCAAGCCTGCTCCCAACTGGGACAGGTCCAGGAGCGCCGCAGGCAGAGGAAGGAATGGGAGGACTGGTGTTCTCTAGCAGGGTCTGGTCATGCTCAGAAAGCTTTCTCTT